CTTAAGTTGTATGCTTTCCAATTTAACTTCACAGTCAATCAGCTTCAAAACATAAAGTGGATGCTTCTGAGAGAGAAACAGAGATCAAAGTGAAAGTGTGATTCAAGAGAGTATATCTAACTGCTTAACTGTGAATTTCACACCACTTTTATGCTGTTTGGAAATGAGGATCTAGCCTGCTATGTAATTTCATTATGAAGCTAGATGGGAATATTGCAAATATTCTTCTGAGTTTCGACATTCAAAAGTAGGGAGGATTCCAAGAGAGTTGTGATTAGAGCAGCAAAAGAAAGTAAAGTTAAACTAGAACCACATAAGACAAGAAGGGGCAAGATTTCAAAAATATCATAAGGCTGACAGATAGCTGACAAGTAAGGAAGATAGTGATGGAGGACTAGCTAAGGTGTCATTACATTCTCTGTAAAAGCAATTTTAGTAACATGCAGGGTGTGGAAACTGTAATTGAGATCATCTCATCTACAGTAGAAAACAAAAAAAGACCAAAAAAAAAGCCCACTGTGTTTTCATTTCTTTCCTTTTTCCATCTTGGCAATATAAATATAAATATAAATATAAATATAAATATAAATATAAATATAAATATAAATATAAATATAAATATAAATATAAATATAAAGCGTGACCATCCAGCCAAGTGTAAAATATGGCAGGAATCCACTTCCTGTCTTCGAAGGTAGAGCTGGATATTAGCTCAGAGCAGTAAGAACTGCCAGTGGGAGGAATCATTCCCTCTGATTGGGTTTGTGTTGTCCTGCATCTCCCTGATACTTCATCTGCATCTCGGAATGACATAATGTGATCATAGTCCAGTCTCTCTTCAGGCAGGATTCCCACTGAAACATCTATTTTAATTTTGAGAAACGTTTAAAAAACTTTCTCTAGAGCTGATGTTATGGGGTAAGAAGCCCTTTTTACTGATTTTTTTTTCTTTCCTCAGGGGTGGGGATAGAAGGGAGTGAATCTTCTCAGTTATCATATAGTTTCTTTAGATCCTAAATTACTTGAAAACCTTTAGCATGTTAGAGTTATAATCTCTGAGGTTTCCCCATCTCTAATGATGTTAGCACTGATGAATGAATAAATACTTTTGACAAATACGGTTCTTTAGAAATAGCACTAGACTATTTCCTCTAATAATTTGTAACACAGCCAGTAGAACTGAAGGATATTTTGGATGAAGTCCTAGAAAATGCCTCATTTATGATAAATAAACTAGCAGTTGAAGGACGTATCGGTGTTTTTTTTCTCAATTGGGTATATGAGTTGATAGAGTAGTTTCAGATACTGTTTGCATAGTGTCCTGCTCAAGATCATTTAATCATTTGGCTCTGTATATTTTCTCTTAGCACTTCTTAGGATGTGAAAAGATATTTTAAGACATTAGAAGAGAAATACATTAGCATAGCTGGGTGCTAATGTGGGAATTTCAATAGATGGATGTCGTATTTAAAACTCAGTCTCTTAAATTATTTCTAATGGCTGTCGCAGTTTGTTCAGTATAAGGACATTGCTAATTTAATTCCCCATGAATTACCACCTCAAAGTGCACTTAAAAAGTACTCGGTCCTAGAGCCGCAAATTATGGGAAAGGAGATAAAACAGCTGTTACTGCTGTTGTGTCAGGCAACATATATTTGGCTAGACAGCTTTTTTTCATACTACTTGCAATAATATGTGTTTCAAAAATATAGATTAGACACAGCGATAAATCTGGATCCCTTCAGTGAGCCTGAGTGTCTGCATTCAATTACAGCCTTCTTAAAATACAGTGGTGGATTCCTGCTGGTACCGTGCTGGCTGAGTCCCCAATTAGTTAACAGTTATGGTCCCAAAAACACGGAGCTTGGTTCAGAACTGGAATGTGAGGCAGAGATAATATCCTTAGAATATTCACCAGTGTCAATAGATACCTTGTGAAACCCTTTGAAGCCCTTCTCTTCTCTGGACCCTTTCTGTTTAAAGAAAAGTGTCTCTGACTGTGAGACATTCCATTCTAACCAGCATTATTTCTTCGATGTGTTTTTATCGTAATCAGTGCATGCTGCGCCTGACGGGAAGAGCATTCTCTTCATCGCTTTGCTAACGAACTTCTAAACAACTCTGTCGCTTGTTCCCTTTGTACTTGTTTCTAGTACAAAAATAATCTTCAAACAAATTAAACTAGCTTTCCTGAAGTGAGGGTGTACAGGCTCACCGTAGACTTCCTTCTCCTGGCTAGTCTCTCCGGCTATTTTACTGGAAGTTTTGGAGGCCAGCCATGGATTCACATTCAGTGCAGTTACAGACAGCTCACAGTTTTTCCTTTCAAGCCTTCTCTCTGTCTCCTTTCTCACTGTAGACAAAATCTCACTTTTTTTTTCCCCCTTAGAAGTGATCTCTTCCTAAGTCCTCACATGCAGACAGTCTCTATATTGTACGTTCATTCTATGGAGTATCTTTAAAACAGCCTGTTCTCTGGCTGTCTAGGTCTAAAGCTCTCATAGACCATTATTATGTGCCTTAATTATAAATTTGTTATCTTTGAACTTGACAGATTCAATATGGTACTGCTGTTATCCACCTAGGATGCTCTTGCACTCTATTAACATCAACATAAGTTGCTCATTTCAAATGTCCTTTTTCGCTTAACCACAGGATTTTCTCATCTCTTGTTTGGTACCAGAATTTCCTTTGTAAGCAATTTACAATGACAGATTCTAGTGGCATTTTTCTGGCACTGATGTTTTTTTCAAAACTGCTGCTCAATAATTGTAACCAATCCTTAGGGCTCAGCATCTTTCCACTTGTCTGAACCCAGACACTGTTTTTTTTTTTTCTTGTCTCTTTTTTCAGAGCGTAAGATTTTCCTGGCCATTGTTTCAGTCTATGCTTATGCTCTAGTGGGAATCTGATCCCTGAGCAAGGTTTCTACAAGTCTTGGCTAAACAAGTTGCAGTAGATGGGTTCCCCAGAGTTAGTCTGTGAATGTTGTTTTTCTTATTTTTTTTTATCGCGACTATCACTGGCTATAGAGCAGATGGACCAGATTTTCTGTAACATTATGTGCTGGGTGACACTAATGAACAACTGGAAAATTGAATGTCATAGCTAAGTGCTTCCAGCAACCAATAATCTGAAGCTGTAAACAAAAATAAGCAGTATTTTAAAAAGATGCATTTTCTTTGAGTACTGTCTTGATGGGTTTTTTAAATCTTTCATTTCTTCAGGGGGGAGAAATAAAACAAGCATAAGAAATAACACTCATTACCTCACTCAGTTCCCATTGACTTCTTGACTCTTCCAGAGTTGAATCATCTCTTTTGTACATTTCTCACAATTTTTGTCTCTTTCTCCTCTCTTCCCATTTTTCTTTGGAGATCTCGGGATGAATTCCAATTTTAATATTGTTTTTCCAGCCCCAGTCATTACAGTTCCTTAACAAAATTCTTTCCTCTTTCTTACAATAGCTAGTTTGAAGAGAAAAAAAAAAGTAAATATAATTAGTGAATGTCTCTAAGGTGAATATATTTGAAAATTACAAAATTAAGATGGCTTTGCACTTCAGTCTATCAATTTCTTCCAATGTTAATACATATACATGATAATCCTTTGTTCATTTTTAGTTTATTTTAGGCATCATATAGTCATTTTTGTATGTTCTCCAATATTTCTTTAATAGTTTCCAATGACTCTTCACAGACTGTGATTTTCATTTTGAGCCAAGTAGTGTCTGTTCTGCTTGCCAACTTATACGTTATTTGCTGATTATTTGGATATAACAGCCATTTTGGTTGTACTTTTTGTTATCCTGTGTTGTCTGCCCAGTCTATATTCTATTCTTATAACCTTCAGAGAATGTTTTTGGGCCGTGTCCAAGGCTGTATTTGTTCAGGTGAACTTCAGGAAATTTCAAGGTAAAATAATCCTTCATTCTAACAATTCATGGAGAATTTAAATAGATGAATCAAAATGATGTCAAGTATTACTCTCTTGGGGTTATAAGTAAACTAAAGTTTAGGGAGGGAAATTGTCTAAACAAATGAATGCCTACAAAGTTAATATTGGGAAGATCTATGAGCAAGAGGAAAGAGCATTATATCATCTTTTCCGTGTAATATATTACCTAATCTAAAGTGTGCTTGTTTGACATCTCAATTTCCTGTTTGTATAATGCATGTGTGCTAAGTTCTGGTGATGGATTATTTGTTTGTGCAGTTGGGTTTCAAATCATCAGAATAAAAATGTTTAGATCTGCACATCAAAGCCAATATTGTAATTGGTTGATGTTAAAACATTTGTACTTTGATAGGAGGAAGTAACAAATCCCTCACACCAATTCCAAATAAATATTTGTTTCTAAGTAAGAAAATAAGATGCTATACTTAGATCTCTCTGGTCCTGAATCTTGGTGGTAGGTACAAACCCATTAAACCTTTCTATGGGTGCACGTTCGCTGAGACGAGATCTTGCTGTAGGTCTGTTTCACCAGTTCAAACACAGGAATTGCGCTTGTACAAGTATTAATTCCTTTATGCATTAACAGCTAGTCCTGCACATGCCTTGTTTCTGTCTCCACCTCTCTGCACTTTGACCTCTGAAACAGAAGTACAGATTTCTTTTCGGCAAATTTCTGAGCTCCTTCTCTAATGGCTGGAGAGAGGCAGTTCTCCACTGGGCAGCCCTGTGCTTGCACGAATTAGCTGCTCTTCCAGGCCTGTCTAACTACTGGCATATCAGGTAGCCCAGCCCTTTCCTGGGTTTTCAGAGCACAGCTTCCTTCCTTCGGGTTTCTTATAACTTGCATCACAGTGTTGTATGGGAAATCATTTTCTTATTCAGGAATCATCATTCCCACTGGTAATTATCCATTGCTAAGGCTACACACAAGCTCTGATTGCTGTCCACCTTGTGTAACAGTTCCTGCTGTGCAGTTTATCTGATGTAGTGTTTTCTTTGGTTTGTTATTTGCACTGTCAAACTTTTCATTTCTTCTGTTGCAGAACTACAAGCATGATATTTCATAGCATACACAGCGTACATTTGGGCCACGCTGCATACTAGTGAGAAAGCTGCCTTCACTGTGCACCAAAGTGTGTCTGAACTCCAGCCTCCTGTGAAGATGAAGCCGTGAGTGACGCTCTCATCTTGGTCTTCTAACAACCGAGCTCTCTCCTAAAGGTAAATGGTTAATGGGAGGGGAAGGAAAGGGCTGCATCACTACCGGGTCCCCTAACACCACAACCATCACCATCACCTTGTGTACATCAGCTGTGTTTAGATACCGTTCCTTATCCCACCACTCAAGCACAGTGAAACTTATACGACTTGAACATACATGGATGCATCTGTTTAAAGGTACAGGGAACTTTACAATGAAATATAGTGACTGGATATATATTTATTTCCTTTCATTTTAGGTAATCTCTATTAAATCAATACGCACTTAACCTCTTTGGGACTTAATAGATGATAAGTGAGAAAAATGATCTTTGTACAAGAATATTTGCAATGCCGTTTTTCATACATTCCAGTTTCATGTTATTGGTGGACAATCAAGGCCCTAGCACATCCTTTTGAAATGGCATGGTCTATCTGTTTGGGAAACACTTTTATGTTGAAGTAACTGTGCCATCTACTACAAAGACTATCTCAAAGTGAGATATGCAGAAGGTTCTCTAGCTCTTGCAAATTAATACATCAATTCCATGCATTTTTTATTATCAAATAATATTCTGACCGCTCTGTTTGTTTGAAGTATCCAGGGTTAAAATATTCGTTAAACAGATGTTTATTTTTGGACAGGCCTACTGGGTTGTCTCCTATTGTATGTTAAAGTAGCTACTCTCTTAGGTCAAAAAGAGTTCAGCTTTACAAAGATACCCTTATTTTGTAAAAACAGTGTCTTCAGGGCTCTTAATAGGAACTAACAAAAATATCTTTAATACAATTTTTTGAATAATTCAGTAGATGACTTATCTCAATTTAAGGGGGAAAAGAAACATAAGGATACAAGTTTGGACTTTAAAGAAATGAAAGCATATGCTCTATTTTCAGTAAGTGTAGTTAGCCATATGTATGTTTTGATTGTCTCTATCATGCAAACATTATTATTGTTTATTTATTCTGCTTCCTGCTTGTTTCTTCCTCTTAAATGTATACAGTTAAGAAAATATCAACAGGCTTTTGTTTTGCTGAGCAGCAGACGCTAATTGTGAAGAAGTCCTGGGTCCAGCAAGAGGACCTGCCTGGATGGGCTGTGCACAGACCTACTAAAGGCTTTGGAGACCCCAGCCTTCATCAGCCTGCAGAGTTCTCTGTGCTATCAGCAAGTGAAGCAGCAATTCAGCTCTATGAACGAACCTGAAACATGTCTGCAGGTAAGTGCCCTGTTCATGAAAGGTCTGAGCGGTATGGAAAGAGAAACCTCTGCCTACACCCCTGAGGAAGACAGCTTAGCTGCTGCAAAGCAAACTTTACATTGGGGTGGTAGTTTGGTAGTTCTTTTTTACCCTGGAGAGTATTTCTGAGACACCCAGTGATTTGATTTATTTACCCATTTAGTGGCTGGTTTATCTATGGCAACTGCCAGATTCAATTCAGCAAGTGAAGCTGCTTTAGAGGAAAAATGGTAGGAAGCTAGACACCTGTCACCCCTTTGCAACTCTTAGTATATTACATCCATATATTACACTAGGACACAAAGTAAGGAATAGCACAGGCAAGTGCGGACATGTCCGAGACTAAACTAATTTTCTCTGCAGGTATTTGTAAATGCTTTAAATGAATTTCTCTGCTCATAGATTCATGTATGCTTAAAACTAGACATCTTAACACACTTTAAAATTTACAAAATTCTTGAAAGCTTTGTGTCATCAGAATGCTGCTTTGAAACTGGGAGAACGATGCCTAGGATTTTAAAGGGAGAGTGCTGGGGAATGTCTGGGTCTGGGGGGGAAGCATTCCAAGGAGCAGAAATAGAAGCCTTGCTGATATTTGGAGACATTTTTACTGCCATGTAAGTTTTTTAATAGTTTGTTTTGATCTTCTGAAAAAAATATATAGTTAAGAGAAACGTTTGGAAATGGGAGAATATTTTTTTATTATCAGTGCTTCTTCCAAGACTAGGTGAAAGGGAGCAGTAGTCGAAGCAAGAGGCATCCTATCGATTAGTTGCTCCAAGGATGAGCAGTAACGTTGCTAATAGCGGGCTCAGTGTCACCGATGGGGCCGCTCCGGCCGCTCTCAGCGCCGGCGGCGCTGGGCGAAGCGGGGCCGTTGTTTAAAGCGGCTCCCACGCGGGCACCCCCTGCGTGGCAGTGGGAGCCGCCGGTGCCGGGCGCGGGACGTCAGTGAGGGGCCGGTCCTGGGCCGGGCGCCCTCCCCTCTCCGCCTCCCTCGCTGCCCGCCCCGGCTCCCTCCCGTCCCCTCCCCTCGCGTCCCGTCTCGTCCCGTCCCGCCGGCCGAGCAGCCGCCGCGCTCCGCGGCTCCCCTTCCTGCTCCCTCAGTGAATGGTGGCG